TTCACACAGTTTTTAAATCCTCAAATTTATAATGTCTATTTACTTATAAAGTACTTGTTTGATCAAATAATTTGGGATAATTCTACATCTACATTATGATACCCATAATGTACATATGAAATTCCATGATTGAAGGGTTGAAAAAATTGATTTTCAACCCTCCAATAATATTATGTCACTTGCTTGCTTGCGTATTTATTGCTATGTCCCCATTTTAAATACTTTTCATTCTTTTATCGCTTGAAAATATTTAAAAAGGTTATTCTCCTAGTTTGTGTAGGATCAATACTTCTAAAAAGGCAAAGTTCCAATTCAAATCTTATCATTTAAAAAATAACTCCTAGTTTGTAGCTTTTAATCCGAGTAACATATTGGTGTTTTAATCCGATGCTGAATCCTTTGATGAAAATGGAGAGATAATTTATTACATGTCGATTATGCTATATGCTAAAAGATCTTTACTCACGTGCCCTATTTATGGATCCTCCTTTTTGATCACTTCACATTTTGATTTCGACTTTTCTAATGTTCATTGTCGAAGAAAAAAAAAGAACTCTTTCATGACTGAATATTCATAAAATTGGCGTGTTACATATCACTTGTGTTTGTATTTCTGACAGATTGAACTAGACTAAACAGGACTAAAAAGAAATATTATATGAGAATATTTTGTATTTGATCCTGCGCTGAACACCCTTTGTAGAAGGCTAGATACCAATGTTACACATGCTTTAATGCAGAAACAAGTGAGTAAACATAGTACCTTTAAAGCGTGTAAGAATTCAAATACTTTAGACCAATTCCTATGAAAAGAAATTACACACTATATTTGTAATGCAATATTGTTTGGCCCAAATTTCGGTATCACTTTGTTTTTATCTTCGTCACATTGTCAGGTGACTTCTGTTATGATAGAGCGATTGCTGCTATGCTAGCCTGACTATCGCTATGTGCGGTCCGACTACTACTACGCTAAATTGACCACTATTACTCAAACTGCTTGAACATCCTTGGAACTGATTAAAAACCATTTGACGTTTACCATTAAATCAGTTATCCAATTTATAGGTGGGGGGTGACCGTTTAGCAAGTGGGAAAAACCGTCTGGTATGTGGGTGTGCTACATTAGACATGTGAATGATAATTACCTAACAGTTACATAGTGTCATGCACCTACCTTATAAGCGTGCCAAATATAGGAGACATTTTTTCTTTCTAAAAAATAATTTTTTTCTTTCATTCTTTCACTGTTCTTTAAATTCTTCATCTACAAATAATAACTAATTCACACGCAGAAGGTAAATGGGGGACGAATCCCCAGCCTCATTTTTGCAGGATCACCGGAGTAGTAAATGCATCGTTTCCCGCTCAGAAAGACACAAATTTGTATCTAAACTATTTCAACAACAAACAAAGTGCCCTTATTCACACAAAATGAATCTGATACTACCTTCCAAGTCGAATTATCCTTGCAAAAATCACAAGATAAATTGGTGCCAAGGGACGATGAACAAGTGGAAAATTCCTTTAGCCGCTTGTCTCCACCTGTTGCTCTACGAGACAGCCTTAAAACAGGTGGGCCTTGGTTACTTATAATTGGATATGGTTTACTTTTACTTTAAATTGGGCTTGGTCTTGGGCTGAACTTGGGCTTGGACTTCATGTAACAGTTTCTATGGGATTTTAATCAGAAAAAATCATATATCATACCTTAAGTATAGAATTCAATTTTAAAAGAATAAGTTTACAAATTCAAAACTAAGGTAGTAATTATTAAATATTATAAGCTTGTTCTGGCCCCAATTTTATTGAAAAAGTGCATTTTAAAATAATAGGTTGATGGAAATTAAGTGGTTAAAAAATAAAATAAAAAGTTTGGATTTACGTGTAATATTATTTTATTGAAAGATATAAGATTCAAATGAAGAGAAAAAAATGTAATGAAAATAATGGGAATCAAACAAGGGCAATATATAAAAAAAAATCTTGACACACTCCAATCTCTCTCTAGTCAAAGTCATGATCATCGCCATTCACCCACCACTATCCCCTCTCGCAGTTATCGGCATCCACTTCACCATTGACATCCACTCTCATAGTCACCGACATCCATCCACTTTCATGATCACGGCCATCCATCGTCACCATTTCCATTCAGAGTCATCGGCATATAAACAATTACCTATGATATTGATTTTCAATTTGAACTTCAATCGATTGATTATCGACGGAGTAGAATTAACGTATTATCTAATTGAACTTCAATTTAAACTTCAATGACGAATTTTTTGTGGTGTGATTTAAACTACATGTAAGCTGTTACTTGTGATGTAAATCTAAGAGTCTGTGATTAGTTTTCTTGGATCTGTGGTCTTTGGACGTAACTTTGTTATCTATTATATTGATCTAATGACTTGTGACAAATTTTCTTGGATGTGTGACTTATAGGTACTGATCTATGACCTATACAAAATAAAATGTGACCAATAAAGTGTAACATGTGAACATAAATCAGTGATTTATGACCTATGGACATTGATTTGTCAATTTTAATTGATATGTAACATATGACTTAGGAACAAATTATGAGTCACAATTACAGTCACCACCCCCACTACAATAAATAAATTGATAAAAATAAAATAAATAATAATAACAATAACATAACCCAAATCTTAGATGAAACAGAGGCGGAAGAAGACCCCAAAACCACAACAAAATCGTATTTTTCACGAAACCACCACAAACCGCATAACGGCGTTCATACTTCACCAAAATCACTGCACATCCCCAACTCCAACGGCACTCACCACCACTGTTTTTTTTTACAACCACCACCTCATTTTCAATTCAGCACCACCGTCAAAAAAAACATCCAAATCTCCAGCGGAGCAGATCCCCAAAATCATTGCCAAAAATCCCAAAATATGGAAACCAGCACCACCACTCCAACAACCAACAAATACCAACATAAAAAAGGGAGATGCAAGTAGGAGGCGAATCCAGGAGTTTGATTCAGCATGGACGGTCGTTAACCATCTATTGTTGGTCACAATAAAATATTAAAAATCCTTTTAATATCCATTATTATTATTTTTTTGGCAAAAAATGCATTTTGGAATGGTGATTTGATTGAGAACATGTGACTAAAGATAAAGAAAAATTTTGAATTTACGTGTCATATTATTTTATTGAAGCACGTATGGATAAAAAGAAGAAAGAAAAATATAGTTTTAAAAAAGGGGGAATCGAACAAGGCCTAAAATATAAATATAACAATTATTTTGTTCAAACTGAATATATATAATTATGTTATAAGAATAAATAAAACTCATCAAATAACATTGTTGTCAAGTTTTGTATAATTCAAAGGAAGAGTGTGAATTCGAATATTTAAAATTAGTTTTGCATTAAAACAACCAAAACTTAACTAATATTATTTTGTTAAATCTAGTAACACAATTCAAGAGGTGCCATAATGGTTAATTTTACCACAATCCTTGCTTGAGATCACAGGTTAAAATCCTCATTGTCCCTCCTTCATTGAATTTTGGTAAAAATTATAGAATAAAAATAATACATGACAAGTCCATTAATAGGGACTCGAACCTAAAACTTGAAGAATGTTAAGGTTGACTCTCACCAAGTAAACTACAAGGGATGTTTGAAAATAAAGTCAATTACCAAAAATATAAGGTAAAAATTTAATCTATTACTAACAAAAAAATAAAAAATAAAAAAAAATATCCCAGCAGGTCCAGCTAGGGCTGCTCCTTGGATTTAACTTTGCAAGGATCTTGTTTTCCACCAATAAAAACAAAAGACAAAACTCCGCTAAGCAGTCATCGTTGCCGGTTAACTGAGAAAAAGTTACCGCAAAACACCAAGAAAGGATAGCAAAGGTCGCGGCCAAATCGACGATCTACGGCTAGATTGCGGTTGAGTCAGAAAGTTAGAGGCTGTATCATCGTTGTTACCGGAAGGACCCCAAAAACCATCCCCAAATTGATCAGATCAGTGGTCCTATGCGGGCTGGGCTGGACAGGGTAGTCCTGCGTACTGTTGCACTACGTGCAGCGATCTTGCACGCAACTACGGTGGTTGGTTTTCGACAACGGTCACAGTTTTTAATGAGAGGGGATTGAGGATGGTTTGATTACGAGAATTGATTATTTGATTGTTATTGAAAAAAGTGGATCTCATTTATGAGCGACGAAATAAAAAATAATGGCTAAAATGGTGAAATGAATAAAAAAATTAATTTTTTTGGTAAAAAATTACTACCGAACAAGGGCTTAATACATATTAAAGAATTAATTATAACCTAACTTTTGAAATATGAAAGATGTGATTTATGAAGTGCAAACTTTAAAAACAGGTTTAGATGTAATTTCCACTTTTAATAGAGCACTGCTCGCCCCTGTTGCGTCTTCATGCATGTTTATACATAAAATTTCAATGTAATTAATTGGCTATAACATTCAATGGTTAACCATGATAACAATAATATCCGGTTCAATACATAATCACGTCAATGATTGATTGCATATAAACAATGTCTCTGGATTGTTCATTGTTACGGTTGTTCGATGCAATATCATGTTAGTTTTGACTTTTTTTGAATGAATGATGTAACCAAATGTTGTTACTTGATGCACGATGATATCAACTTTTGCTAGTATGTTGTCCATAAACATTACTTCTTATTGTATATTAAGCGTTACAATAACATTTTATATATAAGTTAACTTTGAGTATTTTCAAACGACTTGCTAATTTTACACTAGACAATTTAAATTTATTTGGGTGCAACATCAAATCACATATCGTTAAATGGAATCCAGGACTGAAGTCAATCTTTGTTATTCTTTCATTAATGGCAGAGACGATTATGGACCTCTATCATCAAGTATGCTTAGTACATATTCCAAATCAAGATCAACGAGATGCCTGACCCTTACGTGTATAACATTGTAGAATGCTCCATTGGCACGAGAACAAGTGCACAAAAACCAAAGAACATAAACATTCTAGTCATAATTATGTTGCACATGCTTAGTACAAAGTAAGAAATAGAACGTGAATTAAATATTAACTTCTCTTTCTTTCATAATACTATCCAGCACTTTCAATCCATTTTACTGAATGTGCCAATTGTGTACATCTCAATTTTGCACCAACAAGCCATCATGCAGCCAATCTCTCATGATCTTGAAAGCCTCTTCTGCATCTTCATCTTCTTCAGGAGTCTGAGGCCTATGAGCAAAACCATGATCCCTTCCCCTAAAAACCACCATTTTCGATTCCTTATTCCTCTTTTCGATATCTTCTAAAACATCGATAGGACAAAGGGGGTCACTGTCTCCTGCAATTAGTAATAAAGGCACCTTTATATTGCTAGCAGCAGATGATTCAATCCTCGTACCATAAAACGATACCCCCACACCAAAACACGTATCCTGGTCATGGCTTAGAATATCTACAACTCGACCGCCCCCAAAGCAAAACCCGATGATTCCAAGCTTCTTTGAGATTCCGACAGCTGCAAATTCATTCATCATCCATTTAGCTGATGCAAATACATCTTTTGCTACTCGTTGTCGGTTTTGCTTGGCAAGCCACTGTTCGATATATGACATAGGCTTGTCTTTTGTCCATGGATCGCCATGAAACAAATCTGGAACTAGAACACTGCGTTTTTAGAAGATAAGAATCAGAAATTGTTAGGTTGTGTTTATAGGATTATGTGTTCTTGTTCTTCCGATACTCCAATTCTCAACTATTTTCGAAGGTCTTATGATGTTTTTGTCCGCTGAGTGCAGAATTTCTAAGGCAATGCTTATTTTTCGTCCTTCTATAGAAAGAATAACTCAAATAAAAAGAAAAAAATTTAAGGATATGTTTGGTAAGCAATACCGCAGAGGTCTCGCCAGTAAAATAGAAAAGAGCTTACTTCTTTTTATACTTTAATATTGTCTAATCTACGACTACTATACCAAAACCTGCCATAAGATCATATATATGAAATTTAAGATCATACGTACTTGTAGCCATTGCAAGCAACGCGATACGCAAAATCTTTAGTGGACGATTCTTCAAACCCATAAATATCAGACAGTAACAATATTCCAGTTGCATTATTGTTCTTCACTGCTTGGAAAAGATGTGCACTTATACTTTCATCTCCTTCTCCGATTATAAGTTCTGTCCCATTCACGAGTTCACAAGCTTCATCGCTTAAGCTCTCTTCGACTTCGACTTGGCTACAAGATACTTCGAATTTATTGGTTTTGCCCTTTGGAAAAGATATCCAATGTCTCCCAGGATCAAACTTGCATCTCTGCATAATAACTGAAGTTTTATAGTCTGATAAGATATGAGTCATTTCTTGGAATTTTGAATTAAGTTCGTGTTCGTTAAGTCTAAAATCCCACGATCTCGTAGTTATGAAAACAATAATCAACATATAACAGCCTGAGCTAGTCGTTTGAGTTTTACAGATAGAACCCAAGACTCAATAAATGTCGACTATAAGAACGGGAATTAAATAAACGTACAGATAAGTGTAGCTGAGGGACACTGGATACTGGCGGCCGCCCCCGATAATGCTGCTTGTAAACCGGCCAAGCTGAAAACACAGGAGGAGCTGAACTCCACCCCATTTAATTTCCTTCTTTATTTCTCACTTTGAAGTGGTAGACAAACAGCTTAACTGGCTGATCATGTGCATGAAAAATATCTATATGGAAATATCTGCTGCTTGAAGAATTTGGGCCGCAAATTCAAGTAGAGGAATATGAATCATTTGAGTGATCTAGTTACAAGTTGCTGGCCTCGGTAGGGACCTCACTTGTACTCGCATTAATCCTTCATTTTCTAATACCTTAAATAGTAAGCCTCCGTTTGACCCCATTTTGTTGAAATAAAAATAGGTGGAATAGTATTTTTTTGAAAAATGAGTAGTTGAAAAGAAAGAAAAATTTTTTAATTTACGTGTAATATTATTTTATGAAAATTTGTGTGGTTGAAAATAAGAAAAAAAAAATGAAATGTAATGAAATAAAAATCAATGAAGGCCAAACAGGGGCTAAATTTAACTTACTGTTACTTATAATCAAATATGCTCATAAGAAGAAAGAGCTAGCGCTCTTAAATGGTTGAAAAAAGAGGCCCAAGGAACTTCATTGCTTAGCAAGGTTAAGAGGATTGCACTTACAAGCATTGTCTACTACATTTGATTAATACGTAATAGAAAGATTTTTAAAGACCTTTCACCAAATTTAGATTGTATTGTGAGATAGATCAAGACATACTTATGCAAAGTTATGTTCTCTTTATATTCGAATGTCTTAATCCATTTCAAGTCTTTAGTGTCAGGTCATTGATTCTTATTACACTATGTTTATTTTTGCTTGCCCGGATATGCACAGAGTACTTGTATGTGATATTGACTTTTGATTCGTCCGAAAATGTCCGGTATGCTTGTATATAAAACATTTTTGATCAATTATATTTACATTTACCGATAAAAAAAAATACTCATTAGAAATGGTCGTTTGTAAGATAACACTCCACTGGTGTAACTTAAAACGCGTTGGAGACTTTTCTATTCTCAATTCATTCAAGACAATTATTTGTGAACATGCCAATTCGAAACACGTGTTTATAGTGAAACATCTAGGTCGAGCCTCCGCAGGGTATGGCAACATTGTACTTGGTCATTCCGAACCAACTCATTTTACACCTCTAATTCGAAATATTTTGGGAGTTTGCAAATTTTGCGTGACGTGTCGATTATAAAGCCCTATTACTGCAACCACTATTAATGTAAAGAAATTTGATGGTATCTCATCATTGTCATACACACTCCAAATTGTAAAATTCATCGAACTAAGTTCACTATATCTAAACTAGAAATTTGTCCAACTATATTACGACTTTCTCTTCCAGAATCGCATCACTAAACGAGTATTCAATTCACGTTACAATTTGGCTTCGTTTGGGACCAAATATTTCTCTGGAACAGATACTACTACCTGTATGCTGTCATCGAAGAAAAATGCTAAAATCTTGTCTATTATAATATTGTGTATGGACTAACGTATAGATTGAATGGCGAGCTTAGCTGCAACCGTGTTGATATTATTTTTGACCAATTCTATGGATTTGTTCAGTCTTTCTACTGTATCTTTCATTTCCATTGCTCTAACCTTCTCTTTCTGTAACTTCAGCCATTCTGATTTAGTTCCTCCTGCCATCAGAGGGAGATAAAACAAGAAAACTAGGATTAAACTACAACAATGAACTGAGTCTTGTTCCATATTGCAGCATATGCACGCTGTAAATATAATCTCAACTTGAAGCAGAATACAGGAAGATGCGGTTAACGTCGTATTTCAGTTACAGTGTGATTTTAACCCCCTATTTGTCTATGAATGAATAATTTCAGACATACCTGTAAAAATGATGACTGCTCAATACTAAAACGTAATTTCCAAAGGTCCAGAGGGAACTCAATATCCAATACTTGACTAGACTAAAAGCCAACAAATAAAATACAGTAAACATTTTACAAATGAAACTAGACGATTTACCTGAAACCACTTGAAGTGCTGAAAAGGAAACACGCTCAGCCACAGACGGAATGAAAGCGTTGTCACATTCCAGGTCCAGTGCCGTTTCAGCCCAAATCAGAGAATTCGCTGTCTGAGTCTGCATCAATGCCTCCTGAGGGACCTATTATTGTTAAATGACTACAAAAGTTAACATAACGGCTTAGGTTTGATTAACTCCATTAACTGAAGGCAATATCCTCTATCAAGTAAATATGATCGTGTCATCCAAAAAAATGCTTATGATACAAAAATAGATAAACGAAACACCTCCTTAGTTTTCATTTGGTTGTTCTCTCTCTGTTTTGGGTAGTTTCAAAATTCTGGCCATTTTCCAAAAGCAAATACTCTCTTCCCAGATAAACCCATACCAATAGAGTAATTTATACTCAAGTAATTCTTTTTGGTAATATCTTAAAAGAGTTAATCTGAAGAAAGGCCATTTGCCTTGTCTATTGGACCTCAATGAAAATCCTTACGCCTTCCCCCACAAAAAATGAATAACAGGATCCTTCAGTGGTAGCACAATGATTAACCATCTACAAACCTAAAAAGAAAACAGGATCTTTTCACTGCAGCCCCATTAAGGTTTCCTGTTGGTGCTCGATTAGGGCCTTAGCCAATTCCAAAAGTTGGTTTTGAGCATGAAAAAGGAGTGGCATAATATATTGGCCATATTCACCTCAAATGAAGGGAGTGTTATGAAAGTGCTGCAATGATTCTATAGAATGAGGGGAGACAATTAAAATACAGTGATAGTTTTAGGGCCAAAGTGCATTCTGTCTGCTTCACTTAGCTTCACATTGCATAGCTTGCCACACAAGTTTCTGCACTTTCTCTAATTAGCCCTTGTCTGAGTCTCATTCTTTTGAAAAAATGCATTTTTCAATAGAGTTTTTTTTACATTATTTCAACCACACATTCTTTAATAAAATAATATTACACGCAAATACAAAATTTTTCCTTATTTTTTAACCGCATATTTCAAATCAATATACTATTCAAAAATTCATTCTTCCTCCTAAAATGGGGATCAAACAAGGGCTTAATATGTATATATATAGAATATTAGTGTTCATAGTAGGTTTGCATAATCAAAATCAATGATGGTATAAGATGATTTCAGAGGCATGTCATGTGTTACATCCCTGGCCGTGGAAGAAGACTCCCAAACAAGATAGACGAATCCAATGACTTGTCCAAGTTAATGATGCAACATGGGAAGTATGTTCTAGGCGCAGAAGAAATCAAATAAATTAGGAGTTTACAGTATTTTTCTTATTGATTATTATTGCATTTTATAGTGAATTTAAGAAAATCGGTTTCGTTTCCTTTATAGAGGAAACCATAGTTTTCCTTATTAATCCTAGATTAAACTCTATATAAAGAGGCTCTTTGATTGTAATATACACACCTTGAATATTGAATACAACTTCAATCCTCCTCTTATTTCTCTCTTCTCCTCTCTCTCTTATTTTTGATTATTCTTTGTTCATTGCAATCGTCTTCAGTTAACCTATAAGTTAGAAATCTACAGTAGTATGGTCACATAATATGTTAGACATCTCTTATCCAACCAAGGTGGGATAGTACAATCTCCTTCTATTAGTAGCAATGTCCTTGTACCTATATCTTCCACAATCTAAGACTGTCAGAACACATCCAGTAAGACTACGCCAATAATAACACCATGGCTGTCTGAAATCACCAGCCACGTCATGAGACATGGAAGGATCAGCAAGCGAGACGCACTATATTTATTCACCAAATTAAATATTTGGGCTTATTTTCCATTGGCACAAAATGAATGGTCCAATCTAACTTAGAAGTCCCAAATGCAACTTATAGAGGTCCCAAATCTCCTGCCACCTATGTGGTAAACTGCATCATGGATCTAATGACGCAGGGTAAACTATAAACTGAAACGCCATCTATAGATTTGAAATTCAATTCAATTATCGGAATCATAGAATCTCAAAAGAACATTTAATCCTGCTCCACAAGTTTTCCTGTGAAGTGAAAAGCTACTTTTCAAACAGACATGTTAATAGTGACAAGTGTTTTAAGACAGTAAGCAGAGAGAACAAGCAGCCCCATGCACACATCACTGCACTTACAAACACACAAGGCACAGAGCATGAAGACGTGCACGGAAAATGTGTAGACATACAGACCATATAAATACGTGGAGAGAGAGAGAGAGAGAGAGAGAGAAGGAGGGGGGAGGGCGAGAGGGAGAGAAAGAGAGAGAACCTTCAACTTTATCTCCAATCTATTCAAACTGTGAAGAGCTTCTTTTAATTCCAAAACTTTAGAATGCACTTCTGTAATTTCGAGTGAAACATCGTCTTGCTGTGGTATGAATACACCTGTCAAGTGAGGTTCTACCTGCAAGCTATTTTCTAAGTTAGGACTAGATGAAAAAATTTGATCACAAAAAAAATAAAATAAAATAAAATAAATTCAGTTGCTTACAGAAATGTTTCATTTGCAGTCAAGGAATATTAATCAACATCCAGAAGATATACGTCTTATATAAACTCCTGTGTTGATTTTGGTCTACCAAATGAATTCTAATTCGATGCACAAACTTCATATATCTATTGAATGTGGCAGGAAAGTAACATGCTTACCTATCTCACCAGAAGAAATCCGATGAGGATAGAATAGAAGTTAGAGAAAACAAGGTTTTCAGGACATACTTGATAAAAATGGATGAAACAACCTTTAAAAATATCAAATGAAAAACTGGACCTCCCTAAGACATTTAGTAGTTTGTCTGTTGGTAGCCTGTTTGGAGGTTTACACTGACATATAATGCCTAGTTGCCCCAAGAAGGTCTCACAAATTGATTATTTTACTTCGAAGTTCTAGAAGCCATTGGAAGGCCATTGGTTTGTTGCATCACCCAAGCTATCCCCACAGCCCCTACTTCCATGCCACAATGTTATGCAGGTCAGTTAAAAAATTCTCTCTTCAACTAGCTCAAGCAATAGATATTTTTATCCAAAAGGTCCAACCCTACCTTAGCCGCTAAATTACTCCACTAAAGTTGTATATACCATTAACTTCAACCAAACAGTAAAAGTAAGCACCTCGCTGACCAAATTTTTATCTGCACCACTATCCTAGACAAGTAAATATCAACTCAAGCACAAATGAAGATGAGTATGAATGTCTAAAATGGTGTTATTAGCAACATTCAAACAATTTCAGTATTCCACAGAGAATCAGAAGCAACAGACTTATTTCAAGATAAATTTTAAGCTTGTACACATATGTACAAGCAATTAACTCAGTCAATCGATCATATTACTAAATTATACTAACAATTATCTATTTTATCACCACTTTACCTGTGCCTGTATTACTTTGTCCATTTAAAACCAGTCTCAACTCCAAACTTCTGTCTTAAAAGTGTTCGGAGAAATTCAGAATCACACAATTGTTAGCATCTAAGCCACATCAAAGACATCAAAAAATTCAGAACAAGTTGTTAAATTAAGAAGACTTCCGCTACCTTCTACAAAAGTCCCTGATTAACCATACACTAGTCTGGAAGAGGATACAAAATTGCCATATTTCTTGCTTTCTAAATAAATGCATCTACATTATATTTCCAACCACACAAAGTATTATAACGCCCCAACTTTAGGGGTTGAAAAAGCTATAAAACCTGGCCCCCTGCACGTTATCATTCCTTAAAAGTAAAGATGAAGAACTATACTGCAATAAAATAAGAACACGACGTATGAAAGAACGCCACATAAACATTATGGTGCTCGCATGACTATGAAAATTATCGACAAAAGGAATACCAAGAGAAGTCATGGTATAAAACCCCAAGTTTTTTGAACTATATAACTATTTACTTGCCTGTTTAAATTCCAATATTTTGACACGACTAACCCCCCTTATCGAGACTAATGCTCCAACTTCTAGTTGTTCAACCTGCATGATAGGCGAGAGAATTTTAGATTGATTTCTTAAATTCTTTGATGATATAAACATGTTCAAGCACAAAATCTTACTTTCTCTATTTTGACCAAGCAACCATATCTAGCAGCAAATGATGCTTCCTCCAATGTTTCACTAAGCATGATGGGATCTAATACAAAATGTACAAATAGCTTTTTCTTCTTAAATAAAGACTGCATAATTAAGAACAAGAGAAAGACATAAATGTGACATTCATATCAGCAATTACAGAAGAAAAAAGATATAAAAAAAGAATGTATGCATCTTTTATAGATGCCTAGATGTATAGAGGTTCATATTTAGTTATAGAAGATAATGGGCTGGCTTTCATGCATAACAGTCTTACTATATCTAGAGAATTTCAGGTTTTATATTTTAGAGAGATCTCAAATTTGCTCTTCCAGCATTTAGGAATAAAAAATATAAAGGAGAGTAGGACCACAGAAGATGGTGATGATAGGCTTCTGAACCCAGACACCGATCAGCGACGGAGGTAATTAGGTCAAGAATTTCAGCCGTTTTGAGGTCCAGGTATCAGACGCTTTGAAAATGCTTCATCTTTTGTCGCTCTTCAGGAACAAAGATAGGAGAAAGCTAAGGGTGGCCAGAGGTCATTAACGATGAGGATTATGGTAAAGATGAAGTGGGTACCTCATGAGAGATGCTTCAAGGCTGATACTTGTATTGGAGAACCAAATAGTAAAAATATAAAGGAAACGCTCCATTGATCACAATAAAAGATTCTAGAACCCAATGGATAGCAGTCAAAATTTTAGAAATAATTTCAATGTCTGCCAAAATTCTTAATGAAGGAATCAACAAGAAGATAACCAGGAGCCTGTATGCCTCAAAATAAAAGGGTTATTGAAAATTTACGTGCCACTTTCAATAAGAAGGTGGATTAAGGTGCTTGAGAAGATGACATAATTGAGAGCTGTCCGATCAAATTCTAATGTCAGGAAATGAAATTTCCATATGAGGTGACGAAAGGCATGTAGCTAAGGAACAAGAACTTCTAAAAGAATGAGGGAAGGATAAAAAATTAAGAAATGGCTGGATTTAATGAGCAGTGTAATGCTATAAAACATGAACAATAGTATTTCTGTATTTTTATCCATCATATTGATTACAAATTAACATTTTCAGCCCGCCAAAAGAATAAAAAATAATAAATAATTCTCAATATATAATCTCTCAAGCCTAATACCCCAAACTTCATAAGTCATTGTCAGTCACTTCTGTTACTAAAAATATGCGTCTTCCCACTTACTACATCTTAACCTGAGCTGCAAAACCTGTCTATCTCATTGTCTGCTTTGACCTGTTCTCCCTACGTGAACTTGCAAAAGATGGTAAAGTGCCATATTAAAGAGTATTATCCTGTTCCTGTCCAACTTTTATGCAGCACACGAATTGATCATCCTCTAATCCAAAAATATTTTCGCAAAGAAAAGTACAGTAAGATAGTAATATCACCAAGGCACAGAAGTAGTTACAAGAAAACAAATTAAGCTTTTTTTAACCTCCTCCAGCAGCGCCAGATATCTCGCTTCATAAAGATGAAGCGTTTTAGCCTCAGATGGAACAAGCACCTATAGAAATAGAGACAAGATATGTAAACATTGATGAATCACCTAAGACTGTGCTGTTCTTCCTTCATCGGAAGTCTCCATACGGATAAAAATGCACATATACGTCTGAATATAAATTACGCAATTCATGTTTTGTTCGAAGGATACATCGCCAAGTACAATAATATAGACAGGAAGAAAAGTTGGGCATCTATGTGAACATGGAATACGAAACATTTTTTTGTGGTAATAGTCAATGACAAACATTCACACAACAAATTACTCTGGTCTTTGTTTTGCACCGTGGCTTGTGCTCTTAAAACGCTAAATTAAAATAATAAAATGAACCAGTTAAAATTTCATATTCATGAGCCTTTATGCAGTTCAATGTCTCAATATTCATACGTGCATAGATATTCAATAGTTCCCAACTTATGAAATATCATACTCATACATGTAAAAATGTGTACTTTTTCCCTTTCTGGCGTACAGATAATGGATATATCACATAGTGTTTAAGTATGCATATGCACAAAACGATTTCTTGGTGCACATGTATGTCTATGTTAATATTACTATAAATATATACCTAATATACATTTACAACATAATAGCAAGTTTAGGCGAATTTTCATTTTTCCCATTTGCATAATACATATTTTTAGAGTATTTTAACTGAATAGAAAAAGGAAGACAAAAACGTACTCTTTAACCTGAAAAGCAAAATCAAAACCCTATTCTTACAAATATTTGTCGGACTTCAAAGTTAAATTGCAAAAAAATAAAAAAAGCAAATAAAAAAAAGGTACCATTATCCACATACTTAGCCTAACACGCCCAAGCCAGCACGAAAAATAAAATAACCTAGTCAATTTTAATTTAAACACAAAAAAAAAAAAAAAACCCTTCCGATATGCTACCTGGTCAATTGGGAACGGAAGAAGTGGGAGGACTAGAGAAGAGGCTTGAATGTGAAAACGACGTCGTTTCAGGGTGAATTTCACCCTGATAGGGGAAATTGAAGACTGGAAGAGGCAATTGCTGTTATATAATTGGGATAATTGAAAGGGGTTCAGCGCTGAGGATTGTGGGATTACAGTAATCATAATTAATTATAATTCTCTCTGCTGAATTTCTTCCTATTTTGTGAGTGTGAGATAAAGAACTCACCACAGTTAGCTCAACTGTGAAGTGCGGTTGAAGTGAACGGTTATGAAATTGGGAAGGATTATTATAAAATCAGTTTAATCCCGGTTGAGCCTTTCGACTCTTATTTAGTTTTCAAAACATGAATAAAACACAAAGCATTACATGGTCTATGAGACTATGCCGAGCCTCCATTTATTCAGAATGGTGAAATCATTAAATCCTTGTTGCCCTAAAGAGGGAGAAATTTTTTATACAACATTTACTTTTTCTTTAAATTGTGACATTTTGCGTTGCTTTAATAAATTTTGAATTGTTTATTTACCTTAATAAATAAACTTATATCTTGAGAATAGATTTAAAAGAGTAAGAACTTACATAGAAATTGGATATATACTACATAGAAATGATAATTTTTACGATCTTGATAGATCATAGTTGTTATTACTTAGCGTATGATATTTTATCGTGTTATTTGGAATTGGAACTCATGCTAACCTTTTTTAGAAACATTATTATTTTTTTTGTAGAAAAAGCTACTTAATTTTCTAATAAAATTAAGATTTACTTTTAATAAATTACTTATTGTCAACTACAACCAATAAACTAAATTTTATTTAAGATAAACTTATTTAGTTATTGTAAGTAAAATTTTAAACGCTTGGCCAAACATGCACTTAATATTAGGATCGAACCAAATATGCACCTAATATTTCTGTTTGAGATCAATTTTGGGAGAAAATGTGTTTTGAAATAGTGATTTTTTGGAGAATATGTAATTAAAAAACGAAAAATTTTAAGTTTATGCATAAAATTATTTTATGAAAAAATATATATATAATTACAAATAAATTGTGGAAAAATGAATTTTGTAAAATATGGGCTCCGGGTAAGAAAACCCGAATCGAAGCAGCTGCCCCGCCTAGTATTTGAGACCGGAGTCCGGACCAAGTTTCTCGAAGTTTGAAAACCCGATTGGGGCAATACCCTTTCTGCTATTTTCTCTTAATTTTCATGCCTTTGTTAAATCCCTTGGGATTTTCTTGATTTTTGACAGTAGAAAGTCTAATGGCCTCTCTGTTTAAGGTAAATTATCGATTGTTTAGGGTTCTTGTATAATTTTGTTCATTTTTTTGGGAAAAGAAATATGATTCTCCAATAATTGTGTATATTCCTGTTTTACCTTTAGTCGTTGAATTGAATTTCCTTTTACTTTCTTCTCAGTTCACATACTCATACATACACACACACTGATATATTTGGAATGCTATTGTGATGCGAAAATGTTCAAGCTGTAAAGCATCTAGTACAACATTTATACGCTGCTTCCTATGCTTTAAAGTTGGTGCATTTCTTATGTTGTGAGTCTATTTCGTCAATAATATGTTTGAAAGCAAGTAGAAAATGCTGACAAAACGGTGAAAAATAATTGGAATTTTCAAACAGATTTTTTAACTAATTTATAAGTTATAAATTTCCTAGGATTACAGATGCCATTTGATTGGCTAAGGATCACTTGAAACCTATAGTGTGATTAGACAAGAATTTTGTGTTAAAATGAAGACCCAAAGATTCACGACCAGCTTCCTTTTTGACTAAAGAGACCCCTTATTTGAATTTTGGGTTTCTTTCTCTAAATAATCTTTTCTGATCGTTTTTAATCAATGTTAGGATCCAAGTAAGATTTCGGTATACAGGGATAGAAGGTTTTCTGGGACACAAGAAGAGTTTGATGATGCACTGCAAGCGTCTACAACAGTTTATGTGGGGAACATGTCGTTTTACACGACAGAGGAACAAGTTTATGAGCTATTCTCTCGAGCAGGAGAGATTAAAAAGATAATAATGGGTCTGGATAAGAATACGAAAACCCCTTGTGGCTTCTGCTTCATATTGTAAGCTCTTCTAGCATTTTAACTAAGTGTTTTCCTAATAGCTTAGCATTTTCTTTTTATAGTTTCCTCTTTTCTTTTCTCTCAGCAATAAAAATGCAATTTAAACGTCGTGTTTGGCGCACCACATTGAATCATTTGAAGACCTTAATATAAAATAATAATGGAAATTTCTAGGTAGAGGGTATGAGGGTTGAATTAAAGTGGATTGTATTATTTGATTTCTCATTCAAAAAATGTCATAGACTATAGCTTTTCTTATCCGGCCTAAAGCCACCTCCAACATCTGTATTATGTTATGCAGATTGTAGTGCAAATGACATTTTTTGGATGAAATATTAGAGAATGTTATCCTCCTTAAACCTCCGTAATACCATCGACAGTGTATTACACATTATAATTGTATACTAAATTCCTTATATGGCTTAATCTAGTGTACAAAATGTAACCAAAAACTATTATGCTATAAATCTTTTGATCACTGTTGTTGGTAGTTTTAGCGGTAGTTTCTTATGGGTTTTACTTGTAAGCTGAGGTTTGTTCCTTTGCAATGATTATTTTTGTGTTGTTTTATGGCAGAGAAACGTAGATGATTCAGAGAAATGCTTTATATTTCTACAGTTTTATTATCCTTGTCACTAAGCAAATCTGGCTGAACTACTTGCATCTCCCGGCAAGCTACTGTATAGATGTTACTGTTAATGAGGTTAAATAAAGATTACGATGATCATTGAAGATTACAGCCATATCACAATTATAATTGTACCATAAATAGATAGATTGTTTTTACCATATTTAGTTTGATTTGGTTCTATATAATGAGAGAACCTCTCACATTGAGGGGCATGGAGTCTTATTGAGTATTATTCACTTTATTTGACAGTTACTGTCATCTGAGTACCTTAAATATTGTTATAATTTCTTTTGAGAAAAGATAAGGTGAAAATGGTTGGTTGCTGCACATAGCTTTACAAACTTGGTCTTATCTGAGTACCTTAAAAATTGTTAGAATTTCTTTTGAGAAAGGATAAGGCAGAAATGGTTGGTTGCTGCACATAGCTTTACAAACTTGGTCTTATCAGGTACTACTCAAGAGAAGATACTGAAGATTCTGTCAAGTACATCAGTGGGACAATTCTTGATGATCGCCCTATTCGTGTTGATTTTGATTGGGGGTTTCAAGAAGGCAGGCAATGGGGCCGTGGTAAAAGTGGTGGGCAGGTGATGCATGTAAAATTTCATGCTCTTCTCTAAATATAGGACTTCATCTAATTCATGCTTTTTTTTTTTTTTTTTTTGGTTTTTCAGGTTCGGGATGAGTATCGTACTGATTATGATCCAGATATCCTTCTTATGTCACTTACACTTGTAATACTTATGATTTTTATAGCTTTGATATTCTGTGTCGATCCTGGAGGAATATATGCACATGTACGTCTGTCATTTGGTTTTTCCATGGTAATTGTTATTTGTTAAGGAGGCTCAAGTGCATCAGAGTATAACAGACATTCAGCCCACTGTCTTACATAGAGTCTTTTGATCGGAATTGTTAATTAATGACTTGATGTCAAGTTAATGTATGAATGATGGGTTGTGCAATTGATAATCGGCCATTTCTGAGTCCATACTGTTGATTTATCATCACCTGTTTTTTGCCCATTGCATGATATTTATATCTTTTGGGAATATGGGGAAAGAGAACATTATGCTGGATGCTATATATAGTACTTGTTTGAGCCCCATTCTTTTTGTAAGAATGAATTTTTAAATAGTGTATTGATGGAAAATGTGGTTAAAAAATAAGAAAAAATTTTAGGTTTGCGTATAATATTATTTTATTGAAAAATATGTGGTTGAAATGATTTGAAAATACTGTTTAAGAATTTTTTTATTTTTTTTTCAAAGAATGGGGCTCAAATAAAGGCATAGTATTTTCATTCCTTATTTTTCAATATAATTTGAGTAATTGCACCTTCAGTAGGAAAACGTATGCTCTCAATTTCCTCAACTAATAACACGTAGAGGTGGTTACGGTAAATTAGTTCAGAAAGAGTTGGAAGCACAGAGGCAGCTAGTGGATTATGGTGCTGGATCATTAGGCTCATTCCCACCTGTTATGGTTCCTCAGTGTAAGTCAAATGCTACTTCATGCTTAATTCCATGTTTGTTCAGACACCAGGCCTGTAAATAACTTTGACTTCATTTAAGACGTACTTCACTTGCGCAGCTTTGGCCTTATGATTCTTTAAGATCTACAAGAAATCTTGTAAAAATATTGGTTTAGTGATATATTAATTTTGTTTAAGATATCATGGGGAAGCATTATATATAGTCAGTCCTGACTTCCAACTTCATAGCTGTTTATGTATTTTTATAGTTTTTAAACCTTATACATGGTGATGATATTCCTCATGTTCATGTATGTTTTTGTGATGCGTCCATATTTCCTTTCACTAGATCTTGTTAATTATGCGTGATGTCACTATCACTCGCTAAATTGCTTGGCTTTTAAGCTCTACTAAAGTTGGCTTATTAACCTCATGTACCTACACGGACACGCGATTTTTTAAAAAGTACTGACATGATACATTGTCATTACGTTGACTAATTTCTTTAAAAATTTTCATTTATATTATAAATTTAGTTTTATATCTGTTATTAATTTTTTTGTTGAAATTTTTTAAATATGAGTACTATTTGTTATTTATAAATAATTTTGAGTTAAAAATATAGAATATTTTCAATAAAAAAGAAAAATGATGATGATAGAGTGGCCGAAGTGTCAGTATTCGACACGTGTTGGACACGAACACGCTGCGCTATTTGAAGTGTCAGTGCGATAGGGATATTAACTACAAAAATGAACTTGCTAATTTTGCTGGGCAATCGATGCTGCATAGTAAATGATTCAGTGGTTGAACTTTTTGAAGAACAATTTTTCGTGTTAATTTATTTCTATATTTTCTATTTCAGTAGCGAATTTATATTACTCTTTTTTTTTTTTTTTTTTTTTTTTTTTTGATCTTGTGGTCTATTTTTCTTTTGTTCGTGAGAGTTGACATGGAAGGGAAATACGGTTAAAACCCTGTAGGGCGCCCGATAAGGTTTGAGAATAGCTAGTGATTTCTGTTTGGGAATGAAGAAGAATTTGGGTACCTAACCATTACTGCCTCTACTGTTTGACAAGACTTTGCCTACGAAGTTATCGACTGAGCTATTGAGACAATGGATCTATTATTCGTGTATACAATAATCACTTTTTTAACCTATTTTCTGTTCTGCAACCTGACCTACTACTATTGTAGATGGTAGACACGGTGGTAATCAAGATTATGGGGGCTCTCGTCGACATGGCAGAGGTATTATGAATTATTTAGAGTATATGCTATTCCCTTTTTATGATTCTGATTTTTTTGCTGGTAAAATTCATTACTGAATCTCTGACTTTGAGCAAACAGATTACCATCGTAAGCGATACAGAGATGATGACCATCGTGGATCAGACTTCTCAAAGAGGAATTCAGACTATGAATCACGAAGAACCTCAGATCATGATTCCAGACCGGTAAGTTTTGGTCAGGAATTATTTTTGACCTGCATCGTTTTGCCTCTCTCCTTTTTAATGTATTCTACTCCCACTCTCTGACCTGCATCGTTCTGCCTCTCTCCTTTTTAATGTATTCTACTTCCACTCTCCTCAAAGAATAAAAAAATGGGGTCGTGGATGCAGAGGCAAAGTAGGGGCGGGGGTGGCGACCGGGCAACCACCTCACAACATTTTAATTTTTTTAGAAATATATGTAGAAATGTTGATTTTTTTAAATTATGCATAATATGTTTGCCCGCTCAAAAGTGTTTTAACCCCTCCCCTACATGAAAAAGGTAGATGATAGAAAAGGATACAAGGATGGATGGAAAACAAGGGGATGTACTGTCTTATTGTATGTTGACGTTTTCCATTCTACATCGTAAATAGTCATAGATTAATTTTGATTTGCTTTACAGGAGAAAAATCCACGATTTCGCGAGCGTGGTGATTCTGACGACGAGGAAGATGATGATCGTAAGCGGCGCCCTTAGCAGTTTTTGACTGCTAGAATGTGTTTAAAACTATTAACGACTCTAAACTTCAATTTAAGGTGATGTCAAGATCCAATAGAATATTAAGTGTTTTCAATTGGAAGAAACAATATTTCCACCCATCCTGGTTGAAGCTGGCTCGTTCAGTTTGAATTTCGCCCTGAGATTATTAGTTCTTCTGAATTTGTTTTCGTTGGTGTCCTAAATGATGATAATATGGAGAATGAACAAAAACTCAATTAAGCCTCAATTTTAGAAACTTTGTTGGTTTGTTGTGTAGGACTAGGATATTATGTTTGTAGCAGATATTAACATAAGATTTGTGGTTTATCTGTTTCGTGTTACCTTCGTCAATGCCTTGAAACCATGTTTTTTTTGGAACTTTATTTCTCTGGATTGATGATTGTTACTGAATTCGTTTACGATATTGTAATTTGTAGTAATATTGAAAACATAAGATTTTCGAATTTTAACATTAGAAGTAGCAAATCCACTTCTGTTCAAGGCCAAAAGTGACATATTTTCTACATAGACGCTTGGGTTAAGCAACTTGAGGGACTGTATATGGGTTGTATATGTTGGAAAAATGGCTTTATGTGTGGAGCTGTTTTGACATATTTTTGAGTGGGGTCTGTTTTTTTCTTTTTGAACGATGGAAGTAGATTTGTGTCTGTCTTCGTCCGAACATCGATATCGTATATTTAATTGTCAAAATGATGCTCTGGTGAATTAGATATTGGAGTTAAAAATGACTCATTGAAAAGATGTATGTGTTGGATTAACAAATTAGTATAGTCTATCCTACATAAAAAAAAATAGATGAGGCAATAACTAGTGTGTATATATATGGTAAATACTTTCAAAAATTGTAATCATGTGGAGTTTAGGCACTCTCTCCATGTGTGCATGCAACGGACAAATCATGGACTGTATCAGTACATCGGACCATTGACTTTGTGTGCAAGTGCCATCTATGTATATGAGGAAATGTCATTTGTACAACGTTTTCCTCAACATTGTTGATAATATTGGTAATTGACAAAAAAGTGTTGGATGGGAAGAGAAATTGTTTTTAAACTTTCCAATGGTATAGCGTCAACAATTTGTCTCAGACATTGTACATCAAGAATGAATGTTAAAATGAAATGGTCCTTTGGACTGTCCATATTTATTTATTTTTAAATTTGCCTTCCAACTTTTATAACCCTTGAAAATGCTGATGCTGTAGTTATAACCATTTGATTGGTTATAAATGGTTGACTAATGGATGAATTTAACTCACCATTAATGGGGTAGAGCCTATAAACTTTTCTCTGTTCCACACATCAAGGTCCCTTTGTTATCTGGATATAATTTTTTTTTTTAGTTCGTCTGTCCAAAAATTTTTCAGCTTCTATGTAAGTTTTGGTGGTGGTTTATGGTACAAATTTTGTTTGTCGGAGTAGTAAATTGATGTGCTCAGATTTTATTAGTTTCTCCATTGTATCCTAAAAAGTAGATTCTCGAACGAAATTTTAAGCACTTATGGTGGAGGAACAAGGAAACATTTACATAGGACTCGATTTGCTAATTTTCCCTTTAGTATTTTTAATTTTCTGTTTTGTTCTTGGTTCACTATAATATGTTGTTATATTCTGTGACATCATACTAATAAATTTAAAAACTTACTTTTTAAAAAATAATAATAATAAACATATGGTAATTTTTAATCTTCGTTAAGATTTGTTTGGTTTTTAAGATATACAACTGAAGCAACCTATATCGGTGTTGCTATTGGAAATTAGACTGTGATTAAATTGTCAAGTCGTGTTATGAGTGAGATATTGAAGCTATTGGTGTATTTAATGCTTGGCTACATTCTGATTTTCTATCCCACGATTATGTTATGAACAGTATGACAGATTCACTATACAACGTGTATAGTACGATAAAAATGACTACTAAATAGTTGTGAGAGTCTAGAATGACAATATAAAAATGAGGATGTTAGTGGTCAAGAAATTTATTGTTGATTGCTTCCTAGATTATAATATGGTGGACCTAAAAAACTATGATTAGTCAAATGGGGAAGTCTAAGTGATTTTACATGAGATTCATGTAGAGAGGAGGGGATGGTTATAAGTAAAAGAAAATTAAGTGGTTGCAATTATTAAGAATCCGCCTCTGACGTGGAATGATTTCAGAAATTACCTTAAAGCACCAATTAAAGGAAATAAATGTTCCAAAAAAAAAAAATCATTTTTCAAACAAGAAATGTTTTTAATTGTACTTTGCCTAAATAAACACAATTTCAAAATTCTACTATTATTCTAAAAGAAAATTATAGATATGCTTTTCTTAAATTAACGACAATTAAATCAAAAGCGTTATTTTATATAATTTAATATTTTAGAAACATGATAATCAAATATTTATAAAGAAAATGGAAAATCTTCTCAAAATAAGAATATGTGTTTAAACTAAGTATGGCATAAAATGACATGGTCCCATTCCTACACCTCATTATTTAGTTTAATTTATTGTGGTTAATTGAAGAAGATACGAATTAACAATGGAAGCTAATATTAGCACCCCATCATTGATTGGAGGCTTTGAAAGAGTCAACACTCTGTTAAATGGAGGAACAAATCGAATATTAATAATATTTTGTTCGCCTCTTTAAAAATTTGTACTTGCAATAATTTATTTGTTTATAACATTAACTCGTCTACTTCAACAAATCGGTCCAAGCTTGACCAATAGGCCAAGCCCGGCTTTACCTAGTGGGACATACGGAGCCTAGTGTCCATGGACCATTGTTACAACTATTTCAAATCATTTTTTAGATGATTTTATGACACTAGGATTAGGATGCCAAATTCTGGTTTCAATTTATCAATTAATGTTGGAATTTGGTTTAAAGATTAAATATTTTGGGTTAAGTATAAATTTGATATGTGACTTTGTGTTAACTTTGACCAAATATTTAGATTTGATCCCATAATCAAATTATAAAAATAAATAGATTAACTTGTTTTATTCGTCGATTAGATCTTCATAACATATTAGAAACCTCGAAACCAATTTAGGATGAATAAGAAATTGTGGTCCAAAGTTGAAAGGAAAAATGAGGAGAAAAAGAGAAAAAAATCATATAGCACTGCCGCTTGAGCAGCAAACTAGCGCCAAGCGAGTGACGAAACTGTTGCTTGAGCGACAGACTAGTGACTGTCAAGCTAAAAGTTTCTGTTGAAAATACGTCATTAGTACTCAAGCAAGAGGCTAGCGACAAAAAGGGGTGCATCCTTCTTGAAAGTTGCTGAGTTTTTGGATGTATTTCTTCACTCACAACCTCTCACCTTTTATAAATAGGATCCTTCAAACGTCTATTATGTATCCAATATTACTTTGCAGAGAGCATTATATTAAAATATCTTGTAAAAACTTTCCAAAAATCATTTCAAAATTAATTTTTGTAGGGAGAAAAAATAATTTCATTCGAATTTGCTGTTACTTGTGGTTTGAAATACTTCTACCATAAGTTGTATCCGTTGTTTATTGGAAGACAAGTATTGTAATCCGTTAGCACTGTTCAGTTCAAATTTGTCTTAAGGAAAAAGTATTAATCACTTGCCTCGAATTTCTTTTCCTCATTTTGTTTTCATTCTCCTTCATTTTTTTTTGTTTCTAATTTACATAAATTAATTACGCTCCTGCGAATTAGACTTGCCATTATTTTGTATATTGACAAACAACTATTTTCTTACGCATCATTCCAACAATCAGAAGATAAATTGTGCGGTTGTCTGTTCTCTTCATCTCTGGAATAAGCATTCACGCTCTATTCCTCTCATTCATTATGTACGTTGAACTTCTATTTATGTGATAGAAATTAATATCGTTGAGACTACATCAAATGAAGCAACGAATGGTACGAGCCATGTGATTCCGCTTTTGACTATACCAATATCAAACTCTTATATCCCAAATGGGGGAAAATCGAAAAAGTTGGAGGTGTTAATTTCAAAAGATAGCAACAAAAGATGCTCTATCTTACTACTTTGAATTTGGCAAAGTTCTTAAGAGAGACCACTCCTGCGATACAAGATGGAAAAATAATCTTGAGTCGATTATTGTATTGGACGCATAGAAACACTCGGATTTTCTATGCAAACACTACATTCTAAATGGATTGGACAATACATTTTATGAAGTGTATAGTCCGAAGGACTCGGCCAACAATTTATGGGATTTATTGGAGAAGAAGTAAAAAATCAAGGATGCCGGAACAAAGAAGTAGATTCAAATTTAAGTCAAATTTGATTGGAAATACGCAAATAAACTAAACCCCTGTACTTAATGACATATATGCAGAAAAGATGGAATTGAATCCTTTTCAAGTGAGAGATTTCAAGAACTACCTCAAGCATAAACGAAAAAAATATATATATGAACTTGGAAAAGTTGATAGTCCGTTTGAAGATTGAAGAAGACGATACAAAAATCGAAAGAAATTCTATTATTCAACTTGGAGCAAGCTTTGTTGAAATTGATTCGAAGGTTGTCAACAAGAAGCATAAGATCTCCAGTGAAACATCAAGAAAAAAACAACTCCAAGAATGTCAAGAAATTTAAAGGCAACTATTACAATTGTGAAAAAGTTGAACATTGTTCAAACGAATGTCGAGAGGCAAAGAAGACTGCACAAGCAAATGGATTGAAAGAGACACCCTACCTGAAGGGGTTCAAAAGATGAGTCTATTTGCAGTTATTTCTGAATGCAACACAGTTGATAATTCAAGGGATTAGTGGGTTGACACTGGTGCTACCCGCCATATTTGTGCAGATAAGACCATGTTCACAAACTATCATAAATTGAGAGGAGAACAATTGTTCAATGAGAATTTTACAAGTTTGAAGGTTGAAGGACTTGGAAAAATCACATGGAAAATGACTTCCAAGAAAGAAATAGCCCTTAATAATATCCTTCATGTGCCTTGATTCGTAAGAACCTAGTTTCGGGGTCTCTACTTCGCAAGAACAGCTTTAAACTCATATTTGTATCGGACAAATTTGTACTTACCAAAAACTATATGTATATTGGCAAGGGTTATCTTAGTGAAAGAATGTCCAAAATGAATGTCCCAAAAATTTTACCAAAAACCATTATGAATAAATATTTTAATTCAATTTATATGCTTAAATTGTCATGTTTATGGTACAATCGATTAGAACATGTTAATTTCAATTTTTTGCGCAAACTTATGATTCAAAGTTTAATTCCAATGCTTAAAATTGATCCTAATCATAAGTGAAGTATCTGTTGAAGCAAAGTTGTTCAAAGCACCTTTTCACTCGATTCAAAGGAACATGACACATTTATAATTAATACATAGCAATTTATGTG